CGAGAGCTCATGCGTGAGCGCGGCGTCGCCATGGGACGGGAGGCCCGGTTGAAAGGGGTGAATGTCCTCCTGGGTCCGTCGATGGGCCCCTTGGGAATGATGCCTGCGGGAGGGCGCAACTGGGAAGGATTCGGCTCTGATCCTGTTCTTCAAGGTGTGGCTGCGGCGGAAACTATCCGGGGTATTCAGAGCAACGGAGTCATGGCGACGGCGAAGCATTTTGCGATGAATGAGCAGGAACATTTCCGGCAGCCCTTTGAGTGGGGGGTTCCCACCGCTTTATCGTCCAACGTCGGTGACCGTGCCCTGCACGAAGTCTTTGCGTGGCCGTTTGCCGAGAGTATCCGAGCTGACGTGGCTAGCGTGATGTGCTCTTATCAAATGGTGAACAATAGCCACGCCTGCGAGAATAGCAAACTGTTGAATGGGATCCTCAAGGATGAACTGGGGTTCCAAGGGTTCGTGCAGTCCGACTGGCTGGCCCAGCGGTCTGGCATCAACAGCGCCCTAGGCGGCCTCGACATGAGCATGCCGGGAGACGGCCTGCATTGGGTGGACGGCAAGTCACTCTGGGGCAGTGAACTGACTAGAGCAGTGCTCAACACGTCTGTTCCAATGGAGCGACTCAACGACATGGTCACACGAATTGTGGCTGCGTGGTATCAATTGGGGCAGGATACCTGGGAACGTCCGCCACCGGAAGGCAACGGCGGCCCTAATTTTTCGTCTTGGACCAACGATGAGGTTGGGTGGCTGCATACGGGAAGCAACGACGAGTCCTACGCTGTGGTAAACCGCTACGTTGATGCCCAGGGCACCGGGGCGGAGGCGCATAGCATCATTGCGAGAAAGGTTGCGGCGGAAGGGACAGTGCTGCTGAAGAATGTAGATCATACACTTCCGCTATCGCGCAACGCATCGAGTCCATCCGGTGGCATTCTCCGCGTTGGTATCTATGGTGACGACGCCGGACCGGCATCGGGCCCGAATGCTTGCCCTGACAGGGGATGCAACCAGGGCACCCTGGCGACCGGCTGGGGCAGTGGGACCGTGGAGTTTCCGTACCTTGTCAGCCCTATTGAAGCGTTGGAATCGGCATGGTCGAGGGAAATCGAGAGCACCGCGTACCTGCGCAACGCCGTCATGCCAGCGGACGCGGTCGACAAAGATCTGTGCCTTGTCTTTGTGAATGCAGACTCAGGGGAGGGGTATATTTCCGCAGGCGGAATTCACGGCGACCGAAACGATCTCTTTCTGCAGAAAGGAGGCGATACACTAGTCCGTAGCGTGGCGGACAACTGCGGTGGCGGACAGGGAAAGACCGTGGTTGTCATTCACGCGGTTGGTCCGGTCGTGATGGAATCGTGGATCGACCTCCCCGGCGTGCACGCGGTCCTGTTGGCCAACCTGCCCGGCCAGGAGAGCGGAAATGCATTGATGGACGTGCTGTTTGGTGATGTAGATGCAAGTGGACGATTGCCGTACACAATTGGGAGGAGTCTGGAGGACTATGGGCCAGGCGCGCAGGTCTTATACGAGCCCAATGCACCGGTGCCCCAAGTGGACTTTTTGGACGCTCTGTACATCGATTATCGGCATTTTGACCGGCATAACATCACGCCGCGCTTCGAATTCGGGTTCGGTTTGTCGTACACCACGTTTGAACTGTCCGATCTCAGCATCAGCCCGCTACAGAGCAAATCGCGGTCTCCACCCCCACGGCCTGCAGACGCCGTGGCTCCACCCGTGTACGATACCGACCTTCCGGATCCTGCGTCAGCGTTATTCCCGGCTGGTTTCCAGCCAGTCTTCAAGTACATCTATCCCTACCTTTCAAATCTTGATGGAACGGCGCCGCACAACTATTCATTCTATCCCAAAGGTTACAGCGAGACACAAAGTCCATCGCCGGCCGGCGGTGGAGCAGGTGGCCATCCCGCGCTATACGAGGAGATGGTAAACATAAAGCTCCAGGTGAGGAATACTGGAGATCGCAAAGGACAGGAGGTCGTCCAGGTCTATGTATCCTTCCCGCCCGATGTGACAGAGGAGGGCGACTGGGTGGAGGTGGACTCTGACGCAAATACGACCGGGGAGAAACAGAGGGAGCGGGTGAAAATCGAGTTTCCTGAGCGGGTTCTGCGGAACTTCACCAAGATCGAGCTGGAGCCTAGTGAGCGACGTGAGGTGCAGATGACGCTCAGCCGGAAGGATCTGAGCTACTGGAGCACGCGCGAGCAGAACTGGGTGATGCCCGAGGGCAAATTCCAGGTCTGGGTGGGACGGAGTTCTCGCGATCTGCCATTGATGGGGGAGTATTGAGTTTGCCTTGTTGTATAGACTAATTCTTGTACATAGATGTGGGACATAATAATAGATCAAGCAATGCCACAGCAGGCATCATTCGCCAAATATAGAATTTATTCCAAGCAATCAGACCGACTTTTGTCGCCATGAGCATCCAGAGTGGCCCGGAGTGGATCTGTGGCTGCGCCGAATCTTCCAGCTCGACGAGAGTTTTCGGCAGCAACAGGCTATGGACTGGACCCTGAGGGGCTATTACTGACTGTCGGCCAATGACAGGAGCAGCAGAACGTGAAGCTATTCCATTTGACCAGAAAGGTACTCAACCCGAGACACGGAGTGGAGCACCCGTCGATCATCGGCATCATCGGCCATGTCATTGCTGGATCAATTTTTCTTTCCCGTACGGCATCCCCTGCGAAGAAACCTGATCATCAGCCGTGTAAGAGAATGAACAAGGGTACGGCAACGACGTAACATGATCAGCTGTCCCTCTGTTTCAAGGGTATTAACCGTCGGAGCCAGCTGTAGAAATTGAGACGGAGACTGACCCGGGATCGTCAGGGCCAAGTGGAGATGGGCGCTCGAGATGCCACATGGGGCAAGGCTTTGGTCTCTCGTGAAAGGAATAGATAAGGGATGATGAAAATGAAGGGTCGCTGATCAGATCTGGTTTTTCGTCTGTTAGTGCTGGCACAGCAGGTATTTAAACCCTTTCTCTCCATACCTCATTCATCACCCAATCTTACCATCACTGTACAGCTACACTGCGATCACATTTACGAGCACATCTACATCTAAAAGCAAAATGAAGATCCCAGCTCTTTTCTCGCTCCTCACCCTGGCCTCTGCCGTCAGCATCCCCGTCCGCAACAATGGCCACAGCCAGAGCTACCGCACCAGCAACAGCACCAGCAAATTCTCCGTCATGTCCGCTCGCTCCGGCTCGCCCGTCCACTTGCTTCCATTAAATGCTGCCCACGGCAGCTTCTGGCTCGGCGAGTCCCCCTCCACCTTCTGCCCTGAGTCCGTCGAGAAGGTCGGCGGCTGCCCTCCCGGCACAACCACCCGGTTCGCCAGCGAGACCGCCTTGGTACGTCCATTTCCTCATCTGCTACTGTTCTAATATACTAACAAACACAGGACGTCGCCGTCCCAGGCGGCCAGCGCATCTACGTCGACCCCCGTGGCGCCCTGCGCTTCACCACCGCTCACTCGGGCTACATCCCCCAAGGCTCCTCCACCGGTCCCTTCGTCCACACCACCGGCACGCCCTTCGGCCACTTCGCCTACCAGGGCCAGGGCGCCAGCGGCTTCGTCGCTTGCCCCAAGAGCAATGGCACCGCCACGCACTGGCAGGTGTATGCCTCTGTTGCGAACGTGACCAGCGGTGCGGAATGTCTCGGTTTTGATGCCTTGGCCGTGCCTTCGAATGATACTCGGGCTGCCGCTTGGGAGTATATCTAAATCTGTGGTACGACATGAGTACATGAGTGGATTGAATTTGTGTATGTTAGACTAGCATAGCTTGACCCAAGTGGGAAGCAAGTGGAATTGGTGGTCGTCGTTGGAATAGAGGCGACTCACTGGACTATAACCGTTGCTCCTGTTTGCATATGAAGAAAAGAGTTGTACGATCTCGTCACCGTCTTTGTCAGCGTAGCCCTAGGATCGAGCTTGTTCCTGAAGCTGTTGTCTGCCTGACGTAGTAGATAAATAGCTATGCACCTTGTGTCCTTGTTATATGCTCTAACCTCTAGCTCGCCGAGGCTACTATTATTTGTACCTTTGTTAGCTGACATCTGGCTGCGCACCATCCCGTATATATATATTATACCTATATGCGGATACCATCATCGTCCTCAACCACGGAGCTTCCCAATGTCTCAGGTCGTAATTGTCAGCTCGCTTCTTTATTTCAGGAAAATATAGGTCTACGACAGAAATAAAAGGAGGAAGAGGAAGTAAGTACCGTGGTATCCTGCCAGCCACCACGCCGCACGTCGCCTCTCGATGGGTTCGTCCATCTACTACCTCTCTAGAGTGGATTCTATCCTCGCTATCTGTATTTCCCATGTTTACCAAGTGCGGCCTCTGCAGTGTCGAGTAAGGAAGGGTCCGAACGATAGATAACATCCATTTCGATCAGTCAAGACAGACCTTGAAAAGAGTAAATTCTGAGCGTTGAGGACAGGAATTGATGTTGGACTTCGGCGCATCAGAGAGATTATGTGCATTTTACGAACAATGTTGTTATTGGGTTTGTGTCTCATTCAATGAATATTTGGCAATCCTTGACCTCTGAGCTCACAAGTCTTCTCACAGGTTAACTACATCTCTAGAAGTGTCGAGTACTTATATGTTGGAACTTCAGTCTATTAGGGTTCTCCGTCGCAACGCCTGTGGAAATTTCCCTACTGGGTATTGACTCATTTGCTACGTCTACGAGCCTACATATTGCATGTAAATATTGGAATGTCTGTCGAAGAACTCATTCAATTGCCGCTATCCAAGTGCATCGTAGCAGCCAAACAAGTCCACAATACCAAACCAGTAAGTCACAGCGACTCAAGCAGCTTCAACTAATCAATTGCAACAATCAAGGAAACATACCTATCAACCAATTTCCCAATCGTCTCGTCCTCATCCTTATGCTTCTCAACCAACCTGCAACTGTCAGCAACCACAGCCAAAACCTACCGAAACCCAAGCGCAGGCTTACACCCCGCCTGCCCGTCACTTGTAGCCATATACCTCTCAATCCGCCTCTGCATATCCCTAACAGCCATATCCATCAGCACCTGCCCATCCAAAACATCAGCCCCGCAATCAAAATCATACCAGATGCCTCCCGCGAATGTGCGGTCCCAGTTCGGTGTCAATGTGGCTTGACCGCGCGCGACGCACTCGATCATCGCGCCGAGGAGGGCGTAGCTGCTGTTGAAGAGGCCGGTGATGGGGCAGAAGACCCACCAGGTGCGTTGGCCAGGGAGGTTGGGGCGGTATCCTGTTTCGTAGGTTAGGCAGTCGTCGACTGGTATGAGATGGGGGGCGGAGGGGTCGTTTTGGTTGGACATTTTCTTTGGTATTGTTCTTGGGGCTGTTCTTACCCTAAGTTTGATTGGAGTAGAAGTGGGAACGAGGGGATCAAGACGTCGTGGAGGGTTGGGATTGGAGTTGTGATTGCGTACCTGGAACGTAGAGAGCAGAGAAGAGGAAGAGAGAAGAGCAGGATATCCAAAGGATAATGGTGATGAAGAGAAAAGCCCATCTTGGGCAGATTTCCCTCGAAATTTATATTCATTGCGAGCAGAGAAATGAGACACCATCTGTCGACAAAAGACATCAGTTCGGTACATCACGACAAGACGGCGATGTCTTGTAGAGAAGAGAGACATCTAACTTGAAGGATGAAGATAGATGTTGTAGACATCAACCAAGAGACATTAGAGACATGAATGGCATATGCCAGGGAAACTACGTGAGAGATGTCTTACCGTGCACGGTTTGAGAGACATCATGTCAAGGTATGGTCTTGAGTCGATTCCAGCGAGGAACATCCCGAGGTTCTCTGGACAAAGAAAGATATGATGAAAAGCCAAAACGAGACATGCACAATGGCATTGTGATACAAAGAATTTCAATTTGTGACTTGTCGAGACGACCAATGGAAAATTCCTTCATCGTTGTCTTGGACATAAGACGAGAGATATCACGTCTGATAGCTAGCGAAGTGGATTTCTTCTTTCTGTCTGTCAGCCTGCACGATATCTAGCACAAATATGCAGAACAGATACTGCTTCTCACTCTAGCAATACCATTGAAGAGAAATTCTTTTGTCCAAGTATAGATGTGACAAAGAACTCATCTACTCGGGGAAAACGAGGCGTCTCGCCCATGTCTAATACTTCTGTCTACATCTACAAGACAACTTTGAAGATTATGAAGATTACTGACAATGTATTGATGCTAAATGTACAGTACAGGGGAATCATCAATCATCAATCTGGCACCAACACGCTCACAACTCGCAGGTTACAATTTCGACGCAGTACCGGGGGTGGAAATCTCATTGTACAGCAGACTGGTAAGGAAGTCCGCATAATCCTCACCCGTCACCTGACCGGCAAAGTAACGGGCCGCCAGCTGGTACTTGTTGCCCTTGGGGGCCTTGGCAGCCAGGCTGTCGGCCTGCTCCTGAAGCAGACGCAGAGCGTAGGCCTTGTCGATCTTCTTGCCATCGGAGCTGGTGACCTGGTGGTGCACCCACTGCCAGAGCTGAGACCGGGACACTTCGGCGGTAGCGGCATCCTCCTACTCTAAGTTAGCAAGATGAAAGTAAAAGTGAAAGTGAAAGAACGTACCATCAGGTAGTTGATCGGGATGCAGCCAACACCGCGGAGCCAGCCCTCCATATAGGAAAGACCAATGTTCAAGTTCTTGCGGATACCATCTTCAGTGATCTTGCCAGGCACATTGGTGTTGAGCAGATCGTTGGCGGTGATATTGACGTCCTCCCGGCGGACGAACAGCTGGTTGGGAGTAGGCATGTACTTGTTGAAGACCTCGGAGGCAATGGCGGCGAGAGCGGGGTGGGCAACCCAGGTACCGTCGTGGCCGGCGCGGACCTCACGCAGCTTGTCGGCGCGCACGTTCTCCATGGCCTTGTCGTTGGCGGCGGCATTGTCCTTGATGGGGATCTGAGCAGCCATACCACCCTGCGATTGTCAGCTTTTCTCGGTTGATCAGGCAGACCGAAACTTACCATAGCGTGAACACCGCGGCGGTGGCAGGTCTTGATGAGCAGCTTCACATAGGCATCCATGAAAGGCACGGTCATGGTGACGTCGGAGCGGTCGGGAAGGACAAAGTTGGGGTGCTTGCGGAACTTCTTGATGAAGGAGAAGATGTAATCCCAGCGGCCGCAGTTGAGACCGGAGCTGTGGTCACGCAGTTCATAGATAATCTGCGCATGTTAGTAGACGGTACCAAAGCTAGCTGTAGAGTATCCTTGACTCACCTCATCCATCTCAAAAGCAGCAGTAATGGTCTCAATCAGAACAGTAGCACGGATGGTCCCCCGGGGCATGCCAATGTAGTCCTGAGCGAGGTTGAAGACGTCATTCCAGAGTCTGGCCTCGAGGTGGGACTCCATCTTGGGGAGGTAGAAGTAAGGACCGCGGCCGCGAGCGACCAGCTCCTTGGCGTTGTGGAAGAAGTAGAGACCGAAATCGAACAAACTGCCAGAGATAGGCTCGCCATCAACGGTGAAGTGCTTCTCATCAAGGTGCCAGCCTCGAGCACGGGCGATCAGGGTGGGAAGGGTGCGGTCTGTGCGGAGCTTGTACTCCTTGTTTCCTTGCTTGAAATCAACCTGACGGCGGATAGCATCGTACAAGTTGACTTGGCCGTTGATCATGTTCGACCAGGTAGGGGCACTCGAGTCTATGCCTGTCAGTTTGTCTTATGCAACCAAATCCAAGTAACTCACCCTCGAAATCCGCCATGTATGTCCAGACATCCGCATTCAGAGCATTGATGACCATCTTGCGGTCCGTGGGACCAGTGATCTCCACGCGACGGTCAACCAGACCAGGAGCGGGAGGAGCACCCTTCCAGGCGTCATTTTCACGAATGTGCTTGGTCTCGGGGAGGAAGTCAGGCAGATGACCCTTGTCGATCTCGGCCTGGCGATCGATACGGCGCTGCAGGAGGGCTTTCCGGGTAGGGTTGAAGGTGCGGTGGAGGATGGCGAGGAAAGCGCAAGCTTCCTTGGTGAGGATCTTGCGATGCTCGTTGTTCACGGCGCCCAGGATGGCGACATCCTTGAGCTGTACTTCGATTTGGCTCATGTTGATATTGTCTTGTGCAATAATCAATGCCTGAGGATGATGTGATGGATGAAGAAAAGTCACCCAAGATAAAGTTCAAGAAGAAGAACAAAAGAATCAAAGCCCGGCGCAGCGCTTAGACGACAATATATAGAAGGATCGCATGCATAGTTCCTTCGGGAGTACGAACGGAGACTACGTCAGAACGATGAACAACCGCGGCCCATTGGAAGTTTGGACCAACCATGGGCGAAGAACGGAGACCTTGGAGGACTCCCATTTCCATTCCAGTCATCCAGCTGTAATCGGTAAGTTATTCTCATGGTATGGGGAAGCGTTCTTCAGGGAAACTGTGGAAAACATCCTATCACTGATGGGCAGCAGCCAGTCATCGTGCATAACCAGCCCTGGATGAGCGGAAGTTGACTGTTTCGGAGACAATCACATGACTTTCCCGCGGTCATCTCTCACACTAAGCCCGGTCAGGAAAGATAAATTACCAGTTATCTTACTAGGGCGTATTGATCTTTCGGCCGACTCCCCGCGTCCTGCCTGAGGTGTCTTTCGCTTCCCCTCACCCGGGGGCCGCCGCAGACCGATCGATATCGGCAGGGGTTGTTATCATCCACTGCTAATACTATTACTATATAATCACGTATCCAGGATGAATTGCTCGCTTGGTGTATTATGAATGAATGAATTTCTCGGCCGTTTCGGTGCACTGGTTAATTATTGAATACGGCTAATCTGACTGAAGGTATCAACTCAGATCAAAATAGATCAACCGAGGGATTCGTCCGCATGTCCGAGATCTCCCTGGCCTTGAAGCCGCGGTCCAACGTCAGGATGATCTAGGCCTGAACCCTGCAGCTGCGTTTCGGCCTGTCGCTGCCTCAGGCTCTGTCCGACTTGTCCCGATAGAGTCGTCCTTCCATCAGGACGACTGCTATCAATACCACAATCAACACCAACATTTACAAATATTTTTAACAATTCCATATCGAGTATTCAATTTATTGTGACTGAATACTGATTATCATATTGTTCTGCTATACCTAGCGAATGTCGACATTGCGATCGTGCGTGTTGGCATGCGGCATGTGAAGATGGTTGACCGCATGTGATATCCTGTAGCTCGAGAACAGAAGCTCTAGCTTCCGGGCCCCATTCCGATTTGATATACGCTCGGAAGCAAACGGGGTGCCTGTTTCAGACTGACGATAAGAGACAAATAGATGATCTATCACGCTTTACTTCATAGTCTCTGCATAGTGACAATCAATGCACAACACTCGCTGAGACATCAAATCGACGATACAGCATGATCAAGGTAAACAGACAATCAGGGTATATACAACAGCCGTTGGACCGTAGGACTCGTTAGACCGTTTCGATGTACCGCCGCACCTCCCTGTCAACAGCGTTAGCATAATCCCTGTCGTCATGCATGCGGAGAACACAAACCAATCAGTCACCGCTTCCTCCCACAGGTGCACCTCATGTTCTCGCGTCCCCCCAAAGTGATCCACGAATTTATCGCCGAATACCTCTCGTGCAACGCTGTCCTTGCGCATGAATGCAACAGTCGCTTCCTTTAATGTTTTGGCCAGTCGGACGCCCTGATCGCTGGCACCACCCATGTCCTCGCCCTTGGATAGAGGCGGGACAGGGATTTCCAGCTTCTTCTCGACACCGCGCCAACCCAACGCGACAATAGCGGCTAGGACAAAGTGAGGGTTCGCGTCTGCACCGGGCACGCGCACCTCGAACCGAGTTGCTTTCGCGCTGGCTGTGGGCGGGGTGATCAACCGGATGGAAGCGGCCCGGTGCTCCAGACCCCAGGATACGGTGACCGGGGCCCAGAAGTTCTCCACCAGCCGCTTGTAGGAGTTGATCGTCGGTGCAAACAGAGGCATGATATCCGGTAAGCCGGTCAGAATACCTGCCAAGAAGTGTCTTCCCAGATCGGAGAGGTGCGCGACGTCTGGATAGGGCGGGGATGGGTCAGGTGTCGGGCGGAGAAAAGCATTCTTTCCATCTTCCGTAACCAGCGAGATATGCATGTGTCCGCTGTTGCCGGGCAGACCTTCGCGTGGTTTTGCCATGAATGCCGGCGTGATGCCATGTTTCGCGCCGATGGACTTGACCACGTATCTGAAAGGTCAGCAGTTGCCAAAGCTTCGTATGCACCGACCGATTGACTCACTTGAATAACCCGGCCTTGTCTGCCATCTCCTTGGCTTCACCGAATTGTAATGCCTGAACGTGTCAGCCATGCACTGCCCATCAGCCAGGGACACTCACTGCTTCAAATACACCGGGCCCGCTCTCCGTGTGCCATCCCTCAATCTCGCAGTTGAACTGCTCGCATGCGTCGAATATGCAGTAGTAGTAATCCTGATTGTGTATGGGACGAGTAAGACTGTATCCAAACATACCCTCCGTCAGCGCAGGCAACGCTTCGACAGGGTTCTTTTGGAGAAAGGCGGCGGTTGCGGAGGCATTCCGTTCGGGTGTGGGGTAGTCGCCTGGTGCGCGGAATTGATAGAACTCATACTCCGCTGAAATAAATCAGTAAGCGTTTCAAAGTCATGGGGATCAAGCAGAGAATCAACCTACCCCCGGCCATAGCACGGTATCCTGCTGCCTCCACCTTACTGAGCGCCGTCTTCAGCAACCCCCGCGGACAAGCACAAACAGGTTCCTTAGTATCCGGATCGAAAAAGCTGACAAGAAAGAAGGGGACATCGTTCTCCCAGGGGATTCGGCGAAAGCTGCTCAGATCAGGCACCGCGACGAGATCCTGGTATCCATTCTCCTTGTTACTGATCGCCAGCTCTTTAAAATATGTCCGGTCGTGCATGTCCCAACCAAAGATCACCGAGCAGAATCCGAATCCCTCAGCCGCGATGGAGAGGAATTTCTTCTTGGAGATGAGCTTGCCGCGCAGCTGGCCGTCCACGTCGACACCTGCCAGCTTGACCTTGGTGTCATTTTGGAGTATCTCGGCGACGTTCTCGAGGGTCACTTTGCAGGAGGATGTGGACGCGGACATGGTAATTGGCAGGAGTTCCTGGGACGGTAAGTTGAGTTCTGTAAACGGCAGTATGGACAGGGAATGAACTCACTCACGTGGTGGCAGGGGGTGGGAGATGCGGAAGATACGGGGCCGTGTCAAGTGTGGAGAGCCTTAGAGCCTAGGTGCCTTATCGGAGCTTATCGACGGTCTGTTGGCCACATTGGTCCGATTGCATATTGAAGACAGGGGTAGGAGTCGAGGCAGATAAGCGATCATGATAGTTGCTTTTGAAGTACAGAATAGTAGTTTCCTGCCTAGCTGATTGAAGAGATAAATAGAAGATGTCTTTAGTCCATGGTCTATATGCTTGCATACGAGCATCCGATTATCGCCAGCTGTTATCATCACCGGCCATCCGCCGATTAGATAATTCGATCCACATGCCCCGCGTCAGAGCTGTGTCACAGTATCCCTCCTGCTGGCTCGTCGACTCCTGACCGTCTTTTCCTCGAGAGTGTCTTGAGTGCTCAATTGCTGCCGTCCGTTGTCTGTCCTTTGCCGGTCTTTCCCAAGTCTCATAGTAAGACCTTTTGCCTTTCACACGCCCCTGTCATATACATCAATTACCCCACACTACGAAGCCTCCGTTACTGATCTAGCTTCACAGACGAAATGGCTTCTCAAGGAAGACTCCAAGGCAAGAATGCCATTATCACTGGTGCCGCAGGGTAAGCCATCATTAAATCACTCAATTGACATACTGATTGATCCCCCGCAGTGGTATCGGTCTTGAAACTAGTATCCTCTTCGCTCGCGAAGGCGCCAACGTCCTGATGGCCGATATCTCCGCACCGGCTCTCGAGAAAGCCCTCGCCAAAGTGAAAGAAGTCGTCCCCAACGCGCCCCGAGTCGAAACAATCAAGTGCGATGTCTCCAAGGAATCTGAAGTGCAGGCCATGGTCGAGTCCCAGGATAGCTGGGGTGGAACCGACGTGATGTTCAACAACGCGGGAATCATGCACGCCGACGACGCCGATGCGGTCGATACACCAGAGAAGATCTGGGATCTGACACAGAACATTAACGTCAAGGGTGTCTGGTTTGGCTGCAAGCATGCGGTTCTGAGTCTGCGCCGTCACAAGAAGAACAGGGGTAGCATTATCAACACGGCGAGTGTGGTTGCCCTGGTGGGAAGCGCAACGCCTCAGCTGGCCTACACAGCCAGCAAGGGTGCTGTTCTCGCTTTGACTCGGGAGTTGGCTATTGTCCATGCTCGTGAGGGTTTCCGGTTCAATGCTCTCTGCCCTGCTCCGCTCAAGTAAGTCATTTCGTCGCTAGAGAGCGAGAACCTACTAACCGCGGCGCAGCACTCCTCTTCTGCAAGACTGGCTGGGTGATGATCAGCCCAAACGTCACCGCCGCGAGGTCCACTTCCCCACGGGACGCTTCGGCGAGGCCATTGAGCAGGCGCATGCGGTCGTGTTCCTTGCCAGCGACGAGAGCAGTTTCGTCAATGGAAGCGATTTTGTCGTAGATGGAGGCATGACCAAGGTATGACTTCTACTCCATGGCTTAGACAATCATGCTGACAATAACAGGCATATGTTACCCCTGAAGGCCCCGCGACTGCTGCTCCTAAGAACCTTGGCCATTGATTCTCTCGAGTAGCTATCAGTTCAAATACCATCCAATATACCACTGAGCCTGATCAGCATTCCTGTTGCAACCTGAGGCCCGCCAGAAGTAGTATATACCCCATTCATAAGGCAAATAACTCCAAACTGTTACAGCCATGTCTTCTATCACCAATCGCCTGTATCACCACTCGCAGGCCGCAAAAAGGGATCCTCAAAGTTGACTCTCAGCGTATCCCAAGCAACAACAACCACCCCCTCCTCACAACCATGAATACTGACGCGTGATCCTTGAGGAGAACCATCCCTCTGCGCCCAGTTCTTAATGACAACCCTCCGCGCCGTTCTACTCACCCCAACAATGAAAACCTCTCGCACCTGTCTGTCCGACTGACCAAACCACCACTCCTTGTGCAGCCGCAACCGACCAACAAAATCCGGTCTCAATAACGTAGTTCAGCCATCTGCGTCGCGCTCGCAGTGCCTGCCTCGCCACGTACGAAACATTCGGCTCTTTGGCGTACGGCTCATCTTCCACCGTCGCTGAGCCTGTCGGGACGAGTTCCCTACGAAGACCCAATCTGAGCCTCCTACGACCAGTAAAATCTGCAAAGTAACTCGTTGCAATTTCCAGTGGGGGCTTGGGTCGGTTGATGATAGTTTGCGTGCGTCTGCGTTGTAGAACATGCGTAGAGGCTTTCGGTTGCCGCCTGCACGTGGGGTCGATGATAAGTTTGGCGATGGCGTCTGGGGGCTCGGAGGAGAGGATGACTGGCGGTTTGGTCGAGTTGGCGGTTGAATGAGACCGACGGTAAGAATGAGATTCTAACTGCGGTGATGTAGTTAGGGTTTGCATGGGATCTTCTGATGTGCTTTAGGCGGATTTGGAAACTGGAGATATTTGTACTGCTGCTTATCGTATGCTGACTCCGTCCTTGATTGTGTGATAATGAGACGATACTTTATTTGAAACTCTGAAATCTGTTATATGCTTCTACTATAAAGTCACATCGGCCCAACGTTTCAGTGAACATGAACTGGTCGATTTCGATTTACTGACAAGCAATACTATGTATGTTCGATTACATGGACTCTCTATGGCTCCTCACGCAGTCGCTCTGGTCCCCTTGCCTGAAATACCATTCCTCAATCTGATCCGATTGAGCATCCTGCACGGAGGCCCTGTATATGGACTATTATCGCAGTTGAATTATCCGTCTTCTGATGGCATATAGAGTTTGGCGGCAGGCTTGCCCCAAGGGAACTTGCCTACGTCGTCGTCTGGGATTCCCTTTTGCAATACATTCATGTTTAACCCCACGACAAGAATTCGACGAGCTCCAGTCCAAGCATCAAGCTCATTAGACCAAACCATGTCCTAACTGGTAACTGCTGCCTATTCATTCTGTGTATACCATAGCCATCTTCGGGCAGACTTTCTGAGGCCAGTCAACAATTGCAAACTTGACGATTTCCTCATCTGCTCTAGGTAAGGCGCTCCATCGATGGACCAGCTTGGGTCAACAAGTTTGACCTTCTGCTCGTGAGTCTCTGGCTCCATAATGTGACCCTGTTGGTTAGACGAGACCGCATAGATCCCAAGCAGCAATTGATCTCCAGGCCCCTTGGGAGTCACCCTTGGCTGGAACTCTGATACTGATTGCTTCCGGCGTGCAGCCATCTCCCTCCGCGACACTGACTTTGGAATGCCCCGGTGTCATACGCGCCTTTATGCGCTCGACGTCCCTCTGCGCCCTGAACTCCGCTAGCCACGTATCGATCAGCGCGCTTGGACAAAGAATCAATGTCGGGCGATGCATGTGCGGAATCTCTCTCCACACCTTGCCATTGAAGGCGTGGCGACGACGCTTGGAAGGATTTGAGGTGTGCGAACCGGAACGGTTCCGCTTATGACCGCGACGAGGGACAATAGGCGAACTACCGCGGACAGCCTAGCGAGTGAGGCATACCACAGCACGGGGATCGTTGTGGTCGTTTTGCCTGTCCCACACGCATCGGCCAGGGTGTCCCCGTCACTTGCCACGGCTTCAGCTGTGAAGGCCGAGGTCGTCCAAGTCCTTGATGCCGAGACGACTGGCTGGCTGGCCAAGCATGCGTCAGAGACAATCCTCCACAGCTTGCTGGATAACCTCGGCCGCTGCGTCGTCAGCTCATCTGCTGAAGATTTGTTAAACGCGCTGCCAGGACCATTGGCTTCCGCAGATCATGAAGCTGTGCCGCTAGCTGGGGGAGGACGTCCAAAATGATTACTTTCTCCCCGTGTATCAAACCAGGTCTCTGAGTATCGCAAGCATAGCCCGCAATTTGGGCGAGCCTCCTAGAAGAAATTCGAGCGGGAGAGTTCATCTGGGCTTTTCCATCTTGGCTTCAAAAAAGTGCTGCAGTGCCTTTCTATCGACTAGGCCTTGACGATGTTATTGCATTCGATCCAGCCCTTCGATACTAAGTATGAATAACTGTTAGCAATCATAGTACTCTCGCGTACAGGGGGGAAGCGAAAGTTACCAGCCTGCTTTATCGATGGTGCTATATCCAATATATGTGAATGAACTGTTGCAGCTCGTCCGTCGGGCCCTTTCAATCTGAGCTATGGTTTCTAGCTTGTCTACGTCCAGAGGCAGAACATCCCCTGGACTAGCGCCAGGTCTGACCGACTGGCCAAAAAACACCCGCCGTGTTGGGCGTATTGCCTGAGTGTCAGGTGCTACTCCTTGTGGAATCGGGCCATGATGAAAGACAATAAGGCACTAAGCATGGTAATGCCAGCAGCCGAATATGTCATAAAGGAGCAGGACTTGCTTGCAGGGACGCGCCTAGACAGACGGAAACTGATCGCCATTTCCCGGCGCGGCCAGTGTCTAATGGTGCTTGACATCTTGCGCGTTTGGCATTGTAGAAGAAGCGCAAGGTTTGATAGTCCACTTGGCAGTAGTAGAGCAGGACTCAGTCCAAGGGACGTCCCGCGGTGGTTTATATATGATATCGAGAGATATATCAGCGCCGATGATGTATGCAGTTTCCCAATGTGCAGATGTAGGAGTTTAGATTCCACATCTCAAAGAAAACACAGAAGACAGACGTGACGGCGAGTCCTGGTGTCCATTTCATTCTTTGCTGCCCGATCAGCCTTTCTTTCATTCATCTCCTTTCAAAGATTTCTTTCGACCGGGCTTTTTCTGGACCTTTCCTTCTGCGAGGTGGAGCGATGTCTCATCTTCTTCGCAGGCTTGTTGACTTCGCCATTGTCCTTCTTGGCCGAGGTGCTCTTCTTGAACTGTATAAACCACATCATTAGTATCCATACTTCGGTAGGTGATCAAGATATAACTTCGTCTTTGGTAGACTTACCTTAAGGGTAGCGAGAAGACACAAAATACTGGTTAGAACTGCATAGTTCTTCTCGTCTTTGCAAGTTGGAACGCTGTATGCGCACTGTATTACCTTCGTTAAGCATTGATCTCAGAGAGTCCACAAGATTACTTACTACAGGCATATCTCGCCCTCGAGGTCGAAACGAAGTCCCAACAAGATAAGGCAGGGGCTTTGCCGCCATTCCTAAACAACCTAACCAACACCACTGTTAGTATGTCAATAGAGCAGGAAGCTATCCAAGTACAGCTTCACTCTATGAGTGTCAGACGCGGTACTTACAAAGGACGACGCAAAGGGATGTAAACCACCATCGTCGCTAAGTTTGACCACCTGGAGAGCCACCTGCCCACAAACTGGGAATGTAGAGATCCAGATCCCTATCAACGCGGAGATGCAGTGAGTCAGCTACCGCGAGTGGATTTTACGGCTCTCGGTGTGTGCTCATGCGAGTCTCCAGCCTGAACTCATGGAGAGCATTTCTCAGCGTCATCCCGTTGCAGAGATTGTTGATGTTTTCGGGGTTCATCCCTCCTGTTTTGGTGGAGATCATGATGCCAGTGGATGTGTAGCCCAACCAGTCACTATGAAAGATGTTCCTGAGAATATATCCAGAAGTCGATGTATGGGTTGAAGAAGAGATGACTGAGCCGGGCAGTAAGAGGGAAGCTTAAGGACTAAATATTCACATAATATCATTTTATTCACTATCATTCACTACCAGAAGCAAATGAAACAGCTATAGCTCATTCTCATTCACCATCTTCCCTGAAATGAATAAAGCAGTGAATCTACAGCTCAACACTACTCATAGGCCACCCATTAATCGCGTTATACGCCTCCAAGGGCGTAGTCCCATGCAGCACCTCGTAATGCCTCCTCTCCCCACAAGCCTTCTGCCCCTGCAACGTAACACACTTCCCCTGCAGCAGCGCAGCAACATGCTCTCCGACTTCTTTCCCCTCGTACCAAGCCCCATGCGCGAATCCAAAATACGCTGAAGAGGTCGCCTCACCGGCAAACCACAGCCGCTGTACATTCGCTCTCAGATTCTGATGGATCTCCAGCGTCGTACCAACCGGCCAGTTAGAGTAGCTGCCGTACGCCCAGGGCTCTTCCGACCAGCGCGGGTAGAAGAGCGCTTTCGGCTCGGGAACCTGTTTGGCAGGGAACATCTGTCGAAGGACATCGAGGATCTCAGCTTGGGTCTCAGCATCGGATTGCCTCTCCACCCGATAGGCTTCTGCATCCACGACTGTCACGAACAGGATATTCGACCCGGGAAGGAAACCCTCCATCGACAGAGACTGGAACACGGGAATGTACCCTCTTGTCGTCGGCGACGCATACAAAAAGAACTGTGTATCGTTCGGCCAGAACATCTCCTCGAACTGCATAAAGATCTTGGTATACGTGCCCATGGTGTACTTGTGGATGGCGGTTTGTTTCCACCCGGGTAGTGCAGGACGGAAATTCACTGCGTCGTTCTGCAGAACACCCAGGGAGAACGTGCAGATGGCGTACGCGGCTTCCACACAGCTACCGTCGCTGTTGCGGATCGTGACGCCTTTGTCGGAGTACCCAACTTCCGTGACCTGTGTCTGCAGCCGGACGCGAGGATCCATCCTCGGATCGCCATTCTCGCTATAGAGGAATGTGGCGGCCTCGCCGTTGATGATGGCGCTGTAGCCGCGCGGATCGATGACCAGCTCGTTCCGTGCTCCGAATTGTTGAAAGGTAATATTCTCGGCGGCGAGGCCGAAGACCAACGAGCTGGTATCGGGTGTTTGGGCGGATTCCCAGTCTACAACTAAATCAGTTTTGTCGATCTCAAGTGAGAGAGAGTCGCACCCCAATTCCACCATTCCACTGCTTGCGCTGCCGAATCATCTTTCCGTGGTCGCCATCCGGCCAGCGCGAGGCCAGTCCGCGCGGTCTGATCCTGCAGGTTCTCGGTCATGATGCGTCCGGCTTCTTTGGAGGCGGTGCGGTAGGCCTCGGCATATTCGCGCAGGAGATGTCGGTAATCGATGAAGCCGGTTTCGTTGTAGGTGCGTATCGAGCTGTAGTTGGAATGTGTGACTGTCAAGTTGTGCTTTCTAGCCTGCGGCTGTCAATATTTGCCGTGGATCAGAGGAGAGACGCACAAGTTGCCAAATAGGGTTCTCTGACCATGTTAGCACGAAGGGATGTTGGTTTGGACATAACATACCTCTCACACCAATTCCAACTCCATGTACCTATTCCAGTCAACTCCGTCTACGCACAAAGTCTTAAGGCTGCATACCCAGTTCGCCCCCAGCTCAACCACATACGGATTCCCATTCTCATCTTCTGCAAACTCCTTATGCCTCAATCTACCGCCAAGTCGATCTCTATACTCGAGGATAAGAAAATCATCAATGGACGCATTTGCCAGCGCTTGCTGTTTCGGTCAGTCGCTTTCATCTCATATCGAAATATAGTACTTACAGCTGCGGTAATCCCTGTTACTCCTCCCCCTCTTCTACCGTCAGCACTGCTGATATACCAGGATAAACACTTACAAAATAGCCACTGTAGTCCTTGTACACCTCCCATCATCCCTCAGAGACACCTGCTGCGCCACATATCCCTCACATTCCTGTAGTATCCAACCCGCTACAAAAGGAAGTATATATCTCAACCGCATCTTCAACAACACTCAACAGTTCGGTAGAAAGACAGAAAACCACATCCAGACCCCCGCCATACTTATCTTATCCCCCCAGTTGCAAAAGAAAGCAATTCAGAATGAGGCGTATAACGGACCACTGACACCTCTTTTGTACCACTTCCGGGCACATGATCGACGGGCGGGATATCTTGTGATCGAATCAAACGATGCCTTGGCATGTAAGGCTTATCGGGGCGACTGGGGACTGTCCACGAGGAATGAGAGGACGGACGAAGCAGGTAAGTCCAGGCGGAATGATCATGATTGTAAGAAGTTATTGGCTGGTTTGTTAAGGATTCGAAACTGAGGTGCGAGTTTCTTGGTGCTGCCGGAGAAGCAAGGGAGTCAACTCTACGCGGGATGAACTTGACGAGTGGTCTTGTTTGAAATTATCAGATGATCAGATGGAGGTCTGTCTTGTATCATCGTGATTGTTTTAGTTTTACTATGCCCGAAGGTATAACCGCGCAACGTCTTAAAGCTATTGACAGTGTATAGGCCGTTTGCCAATATCCCTATGCCAATATCCCTAGGAACAGTAATCGATAGTCTGTTATTGGACTTGCAGGGGAAAGAAAGGCCCTAGATCATGCCAAGAGGTCATTCTGCCCTAATGTTGTCCATTGCAGAAGCAAGTCGTCCACCGCGTCAACTGTTTTCCTGACTTCTTCTGTCTTCGTAGCAGGAACTGTGATAGCATCAACCTCGAACATGTATCTCTCCGATGGCGTTATCTCGCTCCTGGGAGGAGCCTGTTGTTGCTGAGCAATGTGGTTGATCTGCCTCCCGATTGCTCTGGTATTCGACTGGCCTTCCGACGGAGCACGAACAGAAGCCATATTGGAACCGATACGGGGACGGACGTGCTCAGTAGTTCCTTCGTAGTCGCAGAAAGCTCTGCCACGTGCACGATACGCATTGATTCTCTCATTGACCATTTCCATCGAAGGAGCAGAGTGCTCGATCTGACCAGCGTAAGGGTTAAAGTCCGATGGCTCTAAAGGCAGACGATCTCTCTCATATGCCTCGGGAGGGAAATTCGTGTGGCGTGTAAACTCGGCGACTCGTCTTCTTTTCGCTATGGCTTCTTTGGGTTGTGGCCTTTCAGCCTCAGTCTTGTCGTCCTCTTGAGTTTGCGTCTCGACCTCCGTCTCCGGAGAAAGACTAAACAGTGGATCCTCGAATAGTCGAGTAACAATCTCCCCGTGGACGCGTCGAAACTCCTCAACCTCGGCTGCATGCAGCTTGACCACTCCGTTCCTGATTCTCAAATGACGGCTCCGCTCGATGCCCGACCTGCACGCATCCACTTCTTGGAGCAACTGCTTGACGAGCTGGTGATATGTCCGGAGTTCACGTAATGCGTCCTCCTGTGCCAGGGACTCGTACGGAGGGAGCGTGTCTTGCCCAGCTGATCCGTGAGAGTTGACATCCACGGACTCAAGAGCCTTGACCAACTGGTCGAATCGCGCCTCGCTCGCCTTCTTCTCCTCCACCAGCACCTGAATCAAGCCCCTCTGCTCCTTGAGAACAGACGATTCCGCCCGACTGCAAACCGTCAGCTTCGCTCATTATATCCCAAACCGGAAAACTCACCTGCGCAACTGCCCCGCATACATAATCACATTCAACAGAAGCAACATGGTCGACTTCAACCTCTCCAAATTCCCCCTCAACAAATCCAGCTCCCTCTCCATCAACACAAACCCCAACCGTCTCGCCGCCCGCTGAATCGCATTCTTCGTCGCGTCCGCCCGCGACTCATCCACCGCCGCACTAATCCGCCTAAACACCTTCTCGCACTCGCGCAGCACCTCCTGCGCGGTGTCGAACGCCTGCGCAGAATACAGCCGCGTCTGCTCGTCCTGCTTGAGATTCTCGCCTAGTTGGCGGAGAATGCTACAGGTGAGCGCGACCTCGCTCGAGAGGCTGTGCGCCGATTGGTCGGCGGATTTGAGCTGGCGGTAGAAGGTGCACAGCTTGACGGAGACGGTGGCGCCGAGGTCGGCGATTTGCAGGATGCTGGCTGCTATGCCGATGATTTCGAGGCCGGACATGCTTTATCTTCGGTTAGGGGACCATTGGATTGGTGGTGTACTAGGTTAAGAGGGTAGTGTGGCACTGTGTGAGAGGTGTGTGGGTGGAATAAACAATAAGCTGATACCCCGCTTCTAGTCATTCACACAATCACATTACTCTGTATACCGTCATAAGTCAATTACGTAGAATGGGCTCGTATGTGCGCCGATCGGTTAAGAACAACAAGTTTTCATAGACACTCTGTGCTAGTAGGATACTTCTAACCTCACTCTTCCCAGATTCTTAATTAACAGAAGAATGACAAAGCTACCTTAGCTTATTCCATCTGAACAAGCAATGCTTTAGTCTATCTGAAATTGATCAATAACCGTGGACCACAGCTACTATCAATAAATCAAGCTTTCTTCCCCGCACGAAAGATGGCCTAACCATGGTCTGTAGCCGCAAGGCATAGATGATGTAAACATGATATACACCCTGACACACTCAACCTTATATCGGGACAGTAAATGACATCTCGCTCTACTCGGGATACTATAGACCTACTCCACCACTAATGAGGACAGCATGTACGCATATGCAAGTAGCATACACTCATTCCAACGACGGATCTCCGAGCACCAGAAAAAGCGATGGCAGGAAGAACACAAACTCGCCGCCTGGTCGGGTCCTACTTCAGAGGTATCCCGTCGTCCCGTCTACTGCTGCAATCCGCTGACGACTTAGATCCGATACACCGGCATCACCGCGAAAAGAGTCGACGAGCATAGTATCCACCTTGTAATCGCCGTCCGAGACGCAGTCTACCCGCTGGACTTTCTGGAACATCGATTCCATATCCCCGCGAAGAACCTCGATGTCGAAATCACAGATTTTATCCTCGCGCAGCTCCGGGAGTACAGCCTGGATCATGCGGAAAAGTTCATCGGTACCTGCCTTCCGACAGAATTGACGGACATATGTCCCCGACTGGCCTCCTGGCTTTGGCTGGAGCTCGATGTGATGCCACTGGTTGTACCGCAGCATGACGCGCTGGGTGGTCGCTACGAGCAGGAAATTCCATGGGAGACACGGGATGCAGATGAGCAGGCGGAGTATCTGGCCATGAAATGCGTGAGGTATATCCGACACCACGGTCGGGCTGGATCTCGTTAACGCAAGCAGATTGTTCGGTCCGAATAATATACCACTCCTGCAAGTCGGATTCCGAGGTTTGGTCGAAGTGGATTCTGGGTTCATGATGCATTTGGCAACGCTTGATGATTACAAAGGCACAGTTAGCGAGCAGACATGGATGGCCCTTGAACGGCTTGCAGTACACGTTCGAGAGAAGAAAGTTCGAATTGCCCTCTTCAGCGCAACACCCCAGGGAGGCGGAGTCGCCCTCATCCGCCATGCCTTTCTTCGACTGAGCAAGCTCCTGAGCCTGGACGTGCAGTGGTACGTGCCGCAACCGCGATCCGGCATCTTCCGCATCACCAAGATGAACCACAATATCTTCCAAGGCGTCGCAAAGCCCAACGACTATCTAACCGCAGAGAACGAGGAACAACTCCGACAATGGGCAAGCGTCAACAGCAACCGTTCCTGGTCCTGTCCAGGCGGCCCTCTCGACCATCCGTCCAACGGCGGAGCACATATCGTCGTAGTGGACGACCCGCAACTGCCGGATCTGGTTCCAATTGCGAAGGAAAATGCGCCAGATCGGCCGGTCATCTTCCGCAGCCACATCCAGATCCGAGTCGACCTGGCGTGCACGCCTGGGACGCCTCAGGCCAGATCATGGGACTGGCTATGGCATCGAGCGAAGCATGCCGATGTGTTTATCAGCCATCCCATTCCAGACTCTGTGCCGCCTGCCGTGCTGAAAGCAATGATCGGCCACTCTCCCGCCTCAACGGACGTGTTGGACGGGCTCAACAAGGAGATGATAGATTCCGACATCGCATACTATGGCCGGATGTTCAACCAGTGGTGCCACGAGACAGGAATGCCAACGATCGATTACCCAACAGATCAGTACTTTGTGCAAATCGCCCGGTGTGACCCATCAAAGGGAATAATCGACCTCTTGGACTCGTATCACAAATTCTACACTCGTCTGACACAGGCTAAGCCGGACAGTAAGATCCCGAAACTAGTCATCTGCGGACATGGATCTGTCGATGATCCAGATGCGAGTGAAATGTTCGACATGGCCATGGATCATATCCATAAAGAAATGCCTCACCTCGCCGATAAGATCGCGGTTGTTCGTGCGAAGCCATCTGATCAGGTCCTGAACGCCATTCTTTCCAAGTCGAAAGTTGTCCTTCAGCTGTCCACCCAGGAAGGCTTTGAAATCAAGGTCTCGGAAGCACTCCGCAAAGGCAAGCCCGTGATTGTTACCGACGTGGGTGGCTTGCCCTATCAGGTCATTGATAAAGAGACAGGATTTATTGTCAAAGTAGGGGATACGGACCGCGTCGCAGAATGTCTCTATCATTTGTGGACCGACGCAGACTTGTATCGGCAAATGCAAGAGAAAGCCCCTGGTTCAGTCAGTGACAATGTCATGACGGTTGGTCTGGTCAGCTCGTGGCTGTATATGATTCGGAAACTTCTTGAGAATCACTCATGGAAACCTGGAAATCGACTACTATCCGATCTTATGTTTGAAGATTTAGGCTTAGCATCAAACAATACATGATTCGACATGCAGCAATCCACAGTTGTCCCTATCTGAGCTGTTTAGTGGCTGCCATCCACGGTCGTCCTGACCGAATGCAGATCACGCTACAGTTCAGATCTCTCATTTCCTCTGCAAGCTTTTATCAGTCGGCCCCAGGCGCTCGCCTTCTCGGCCAATAGCTTCGGGATACGATACGCACAGGATACTGCCAAATAAAGCCCACGGTCAAGCTCTCCGCCACATCGGCCGGGACCACGCTGAAGCCCCTTGGATCCGATCCTTCCTGAGTTAGAAGCTCGACCACGTCATGGTCACCTTTTCGAATGGCACCAGGAAACAGGAGATAACATATTCTGCCCATTTTGCAGCCATGTTTTAGGGCAGTCTGTATCATATACATGGCATCCCGACTGGCGGCGGAGGTTGGTCGGATCAAAGCCATTGTTCAATAGGAGCTCGATAATTCGTGGAACGTCTCGCAAGACACCTCGCCCCAGCGACCTTCTTTCATGCAGGATACCCTTCGTACAAGACTTGGATAAGCTTCTTATGACATTCTTGCAATGTGGCAGATGAAGTCTCAAAAGCATGCAATGAGTTGATGATAGTCCTGACCAGATTATGATGACCAAGAAGAGAGATCTTTAGATGCCAACAATGAGGAGAATAGCGTTAGAGGTGTAGGACGCGCCAGTGTTGGTCCTCAGGCACTCCATTACTGTCAGATTGACCAAGTCCCCGATCATTGGATATACTACCCTATGCAAGAGTGAAAATCATCGGGGACGTTCTGTCAGTGTTAGTATAATGATGTCTGCTAATGTTAGTATAAATCAAACTTGGTACTGCCATTGAGACTGTGAAACAGTACCCAAGTGAGAGTTTAGTCGGGGGACAACGTCTGCCATATCATCAAGGTCGCCCATCGATGTATGGATTGGCATAACCAATATATTGCAACCGAAACATGCAGGCGAAGCAGATGTTTATTGATAAATAACATCTCCGAGAAAGTCAATTGTCGAATGATGCCATTCCTCTCCCCTCATCTTGTACTGATCCGCACCCGCAATGACATCAACGCAATTTCCCCTCAAACACGCTAAATATCATGATTGATAAAGGCCAAGCTGATTGGTTGTCCATGAATCAACCGTGGCTATAAAATGGAAACCCCCGCAAAAGCTCTCTTCCTTTCCTCCGCAGTTTCTCCTCTTTGGGAATAGGGTCATATGATGATCAGGCCATTATAACGCCACGCCCGCAGCATCACCTTATCCACCCAGGCACTGCCTCAATCTCCTGAATGAATTGACATATTACCCTCTCTATCCCCATCTGTCCTTCAATTCTTCAACCGCAACATTTTCAAGCATTCTTCGAACCACTACAAACAAGATATACAAAATGTCCTCCTTCGCCACGCCTTCCCCGCACTCCCCACGGCCATTCTTCAAGCGGCCCGCCTACCCCAGCTTCAAAGTAGGGAGAGTAGGAAAACTGTACGTCCCTGAGTAGCTATGCAGGGATAATCACTAAATCACTAACAAATAACAGATATCTCCCAGCCATGGCTGTCGTCGCAGCCGGTATGTCCTACCCTGCAAATCTCCAACGCAACTGACAAGATCAGGATTCGGCATCGCCAATTACCTCAATGATTTTCAAGCCCAACAAGCGCGTTACCAACTCCAAGAGGAAGAGCGGATCCGACAAAACCAGAAACTGATGGATGCGTATGGGGATAAGGGCAGTCTGCATGATGTCCAGCATGCGTTGGAGGCTTATGAGATTCAGTGACCTCCGGTGATGTGTAATGATTGATGATAAATGGTGTTGGTGTTCGTTTTCATATTTATTGCATCTGGCGATCATCGGCATAGTTCTGCTGGCAGGATTATGAGTCGATCACTTCTGGTATTTCTGTTCCTCTCTATTGAGATAGCCTGTTGTACTATATTCAAACTTTGAAACAGGTGCCTTGAATTCTGGCCTCATGCCATGGGGTTCTTAAATGCGTCGTGCTCTATACTGTAAGGGAAGTTATTGCCTGCATTGTCCTATTACCAAAACCCCTTCGTATCGGCGTTATAGACACAATGATGGGCAGATTGAGGCAATTCGGTCTTAAAATGACCATATACGGATACAATCATCTATTTTGTGCGTTGAGCCAAGTGCTACACGATGGTTGACACGTGACTCTCCGCGGCTGCCGCTGTGATGCACGTCATCCCCCAACTCAAGTGGGTCCGATCAGACATTCTCGGTTTTAACATCTCAAACATTGGAGAGGTATCAGAGATGGATTCAGAGCAGAAGAAACAATCAACCCCCGAGGTAAGATCCACAGCTATAACTATAGTTTACTTGCTAGCTAATACATGCTAGTCACCCCCCAAGGACGAAGAAGGTCTCCTTCGCGCCTACGGAAGGCTACCTCAAAGAGGGCGATTATTCGACCAGCAGGCTAAAGTAGGTCTGCTCTCAGCCGACAAGATACGTATCTTGACTAATGGCGCAAGGGACGAAAATACTTTGACTCTGGAGATTTCGCCCTTTCCACAGCCGACCGCGTAACTGATATCGGGGCAATCAATACTGGCCGCGCGCATCCTCAGCGGGACAGCGTTTCGCATCCCTACGCCCCAGTTCCTAGCAGTAGTAATGCCAATGAAGATGCTAACAAGGATGTTCGTGACAAGACATTTGCAGGTCTGAAAATGACGGAGAGTCCGCTTCATCAGCAGAGTGATGTTGGTGATACGAAGCAGAACCTGGAGAAACCGAAATCTGATTGATTAAGTGTATGGATATTTCAAAGGCGATTGACACTGGATGGTACCTGGATCCTTGTTTACTCTTAGATGATTAACTGAACTGCATGCGCTGCTAGTCACATAATCCAAGCCTCCAGAGTATAGCTCAGGAGCTGACTCTCTACCGTTCTCATTTAAGCTGAATTTGCGCAGCCGTAATTGATATATGTATGATATATATAGACATCTATGCATGAAACGATATCCCAAAACAAAGCATATATGATATGGTAATATACAAGAGATCAACGACGCCGTTCTGTCCCTCTGTAGCGTCACCCACTGTATTTCCCTTTCTTCGGAGAAGGTGCCTTGGTCATCCTGTTTATCTTTATTAGATCTTTGTATGTATTCATTATGGCCGATGAACAGGGAAAAAGATTTTGCCCTCCAGGCTGCTGTATATAGCCTTAAGCAACATTATTCGCATACATAATTGTTTCGGAGGCCCAAACTGACCGGGACTGAATACCTAAATATAAGCTCCTATTTATTTGTCCTTATGTAGGACCTTAATTAGCAAGTAGCTATGCTTTATAGAAAGTCAATTTTGGTATATTCTAGATATTAGGTTAGCCTTATCTATAGCTAGTAGTATATGCTGATTTAACTTTACATAAATTAGCTAAATTGCTTTATTAGTAGAAAATAATGAAAGTGTACTCTCCGCAACATCATTTACTGCTCTTCTGGTATTCTCCCAATGCCTTGCCGTAATCGTGAGTGGTGCACTACCGCAGACCTTTATCAGGAAAGCTTCAACAAATTGTAAGATACTGCACGTTGGGTTACATAAACTCTCCCTGATTCCTCAATATTTCCTCTTAAATGGCCACATAGCGACCATCGGACTGTTCGTTGGACTTGCGAGTGTAAGAGCGCATCTCCTCCCAGTCTTCGTGAAAATCTACTGTACTTTTCGACGATATACACTCGGTTTGCCATGGGATTCGGGTACCAGAATTCAGCTGGACACATGTATACGCGACGCCCCTCTTGATGGAGATGCCCTGGGATGGTACCATGGCCGCTGTAGCCAATGGGACCTATATGATTGCTCAACCGGCTTTCTGTACTAGTGATCCTAATAACGACACGGAAAAATGGAACCCTGCAATATCTGAGAAGAGTTTTGAAGTTCACTATGACCGCTAGGAAGTGGAAGCAAGGCGCCATCCTGGGTGTAGATCACTGTAATCTTGCGCGGCCTGCTGTCGGATGTGTTGACGCATGTCATAACTGCATACTCCGTCAGCTATGATCGGTTAGTTCAGGGTAAGGCAAACACCAACTCGTTAATCTCCTCAATAGTGAGTTTTTGATCCTCCTGCGCCACTGCGTACCATTTGCTATTCTTTTGACTAGAGAAGCCAATTCTCTCGGAAATATTCTCTCTTGCTCGGGCGCTTGCTGCTTGCACCTTGCTCGCCCGCGGTTTACGAACTTCCTCGTAGAGCCGCAAACCGGAACGGATGTCGTTCGTATACTGATACGAGCGTCCGAAGATAATGCCTAGAGCTGCGGCATCCTCGATTGCCTGGCATGCACCCTGGCTCTGATCTGGGAGCATAGGGTGTGCAGCATCTCCAAGGATGCACGTCCGACCTCTGCTCCAATACGGGTAGGGTTCATGAGCGAAGAGCCGCCAAGGTCGAATATCGACTGGGTCAGCGTGACTAAACAGCGCGTGCAAGGCAGGATCGAGTGTGGGAAATGGCGCGAGCAGCTGTCTGCGGTCGCCAGCAAAATCCCAACCCTCCTCTACCTGCGCCTCCTTCTCACTCGTCGGAGTTGGGAAGAATATATAAAAGGAGTGAATTTCGCCCTCACGGCAAGGAGCGAAGACGATCTTTTCCAGCCCTTGCCCGCCCCAGTACTCCAGAGCATCATTCTGGGACATGTCCGCAAGACCAAGCCTACGGACAACGGCTGTCTGGACAACGCAATGATAGCAAGTGGATGTCGCTCGTTTTCGTTGAGGATATACCCCAAGTGCTCGGCGGACGGATGACTAGGCAATTATCTGTTATTGAGTGAGTGAGTTCACTATATGCACGGCGTTCGGCGACCTACCCCGACGCCATCGGCGCCAATAACCAGGTCATGCCTGACAGTCACATTGTTTTGGAAACTGACCGTTCCAGTTGCGTGATCGACCGATTTACAGCTGTGATTTCGTTTCAACAATGCGGGTTCGCCCAATCCTGGTCCAGTGGCTGATTTCATCAGCATTGCATGCATGTCAGCTCGGAAAAAATTATGGTATTCCTGGGCCCGTCAGCATGGATAGATGGTACTATAATGAGCCCCAGAGTGACGCACATAGCCCCATTTGCCCGTGTATTCCGACAAATCGTAGATGCCCTGTATCTCTCCGTTGCTGAGAGCGTGTCGAATCAGCTTTCGAATGGTACATGGTCTCCCGTGGGAGATATCGACATTCCACTCCTTCAGCCACTTCGTTCCATTTGCACCGCAGCTAATAGAAGCTCCCAGACTGCCGCTGTAATCTCCTCGTTCGTAGATTGTTACTCGGTGGCCTGTCCGGCGAAGAGATGTTGCGGCAGCGAGGCCCCCTGGAATCCCTAGTCAACCATCTAATGTCCATCAAGCTTTGGCGTTGGAGGTCAGGGGGAAGGGAGGAAAAATCAGGCGCAGGCAGAATGGGAGGAGCAAGTTAAACACACTTACCAATCCCACCGCCAATGACAGCCACGCTCAACTGGCGCCACTGTTGTGATCCCGAAATCATGTCAGGTGTTCTTTACTCGGTACGGAAGAATGAAGGTCAAGATGCCAACTTTGGCGAGTATTTGTACCAGAAGGCATGATCCCGGTATTGGTGCAAGTAGCAGCAAAATGTGATATATCGACAGGCAATGTGTATTGGTCACTTTATCACTTTACATATCGGCTGCGCATCAGGTTAGTGGAAGGCAGTAAGGGGGCGATGCAAGGGAGAGTGATCGAGGAGCAGATCCGCGCGATCGTGCAGCAACACCTGGGCATGATTGGCATGATTGGCATGATATAATGAAATAGACTCACGTTCACTGGCTGTAGCACTTGCATTGACTCGTGTCTGGTTGGCTTCCAGATCCACTCTTCAGCCTTCACCCTTTTCTTCAGGAAAATAAAATGAGCTCGTACCTGTTTCTCGTACACCCTTACAGCCCAGTATTGAGACTGGAGTTCTATGTCCAGTGTGCGCTATTGATTTCCCTTTGTAGCATTTGGAAAAGTAATAATCTGTCCTTGGCTTTTCCCCTATGTACCGTAGATCGCAAGCACAGGCAAAACGGAGCCAATTGAGTACCCCGATACCTCTTCATCATGAACAATATTCCATGGCATTGACTAGAATCAGTCGTAGGTTATCAGATGGGAAACGATACACAACCGTGCAGAATAGAGTATCCAAGCAGATATTATGCAAATAGCAATGATCTGGCACTTTAAATCTCTGCACCAATCGCCCAGTACAGCACCACCCCATAAACCAGCAGGACCTTCTGCGCAACCCCCAGACCAATCTCTTCCACCACACTGACGGGCACCATCCAGTTTTTCTCCGGCTGTTGTCGCGCAGCTGGGTACAAGTACCACGGCGACGTCGCACACATCCAGCTCCCAACCCAAAGGAATCCCACGAGCCTCTGCCAGAAGGGCACCGCGCCCGGACTCTGCCCCGTCGCCCGGCGCCAAACTTCCTGGGCCCCGTCCTCGAGCATGATGGCAAGCGGAAACAAGCAGAAGAACGGCATGGCCCCAGACATAGATGGTGGGACACCCAAGATAGCATCGCAGGCTAGGTGTAGCACGCCGGACGTGAAAAAGGTGAAGAAGATGTTGGTGTAGCGTTCCAGAAGTGAGGGGCGCGGGAGGCGCAGGACGTCTCTCGCGACATAACTACCCACCGAGGTGAGAGGCCAACGGAAGGATTGATGCCAGAATTTGCTGTGGGGTGAGGTTACTCGCTTGCCTTTGCAAAACTCCAGGAAATCTGGGAAAAAATCATCCGGGAAATCCACTTACCCCCAAAAACCACGGATGGTGCAAGCATCCCGCACTCTGCCGAAGCCCGGCCGACAAGACTCCGGCGTAGAAATGCGCAGCACCACCAAGACGAGGAAGTAGATCCGGGAAATGATGTTAAGGCAGACACGCGACGGCACAAGCCAGGAGAAGATCCCCACGGAGACGCGCCCCAACCACTGTTCAGACGTTGCGTCGAGATACCTATACTCCAAGCCTGGGCCGAACAGGCGCGCCACGTCCTCCGGGGGCGTGTCCTTTGTCGACATGTAGACTAAATCCAGCAGCAGGTACTGCCATATGATAATGGCGCTCTCCCGTAGGACGTACCGCCTCCGGCTCAGTCTTTGCTGCTTAGTTTTCTGGAGGTAAGCAGCGTGCTGGGGTACGTTTTTGACCTCCCAGACTGTGCCGATACCCCGGAAGTTGACCAACAATGCCCAGGCACGGGCAACTCGAGAAAACAGACTTGAAGATGGGGTGCACAATCCTGCATGTACCAGCTCAGTCTCATCTAGATTTGTGATGAGGAGGAGATTGAGGCATTGCAGAGCAGCCACGGTTGCTTGGCCCGCCGCCACGCCTTTCAGGAATTGACTGGTGGTCAGCGAGGGCACCTGGAGGGAGTATCGATACAAAATGTACAGAAGACATGGTGTCCAGGCCAGTCGAACAAAGGATGACTTTTGAGTGGTTATGATGACAAAGGCAGTGGGCACAGTAAAAGCTAGATAAAGTGCTTGCACATGGGCAATAGACCACAATGTTGACGAAAGCACGAGATCCATTGTTTGCTAACCAGACAATCCCTTGTACACGACTTGCTCTCAGGAAGAGGTGAGCTATATACATTGGTAGTCAGTCACATCACACGCTTATGTGTTGTTGCTGTATCTGTCTAATGCAAGGGTGGATGCGATGCATACAAGTCATTGGTTTTTCTTTCGCCCCGATTGATAGATACAGCGCTGTAATTAGACTGATCCAGTCAAGACCGTCAGGCTAACTTCGCAGTTCTAGCTAACCTCAACCCTAGCTCACAAGCTAGAGAACGCACGTACCACTCATTGAACTTGGTATGTTGATCTCAAGAAGGGTAAACTAAAGGGTTGACCCATGAAATTCGATTGGCTTCTGTGTTAATAGGCCTGGACGGTGATAGTACTCAGCGCTAAGAATCCACCTGCCATGGCCACCATGCATGAGACATGGCAGAGGGTTGCCGATGCTCGTGGAGCTGTGTGACCAATTTTGGTTCTTTGAAGCTGAGAAGTCGGCGAGAATGATCAGGTTGCCGTCGGGGGTTCTAGAACCAGCAAGGTGTTGGATCAGGTTGTCATCAGAGTGGACTGATCAATGAGTACTTGGAAATAGATACTGCAAGCTGATTATTAGCGCAGTGGACACATCTACATGTGGCGTCCATAACATGCTTTCGGCTAATCAAGCCAAGAGACACAATCAATACCAGCTGGGCCACCTGATTCCCACCAACCTCATTCTTTCGATTTATATGTAACATGCAACTGAAAAAGTCGGTCAAGTCATCCAATGATCCACACCATGTGAAGCTTCCTGCAGGTTGCGTCTGTCACAGGCACACTGAGTTACGATCTGCGTCGGATCGACACATCCCAATTAGGAAAACTAGAATAACCCAACGAGGATGCAGAAGCTAAATAAAACTTTCCTGTTCGTAATAAAATACAAGAAAGTCAGAGCAAGCAAGAAACCGGGGGAAGTCAGAACTAAACCGCAAAGACAACCTGCTCAGTACGATAGGCTCAACCCATACATATGAGAAATCATGAGCGCCCAGAGAACACACTCTCCGGTCAATCAGGATGAACAGGGACACGATGGACTTGCTAGCCTTCATGGCCCATGTGAAGATGTCCCGAGCAACGACTCTCCGTATGCTCTGTCTTCGCTCGACCACAATCCTCTCGGAATAAACGTCACATTTTTGCTGTCCTTCCATGCCGCACAGCCCGAGGAAGGCATTCGGGTCCTGGAGGACGGCATCAAACAGCTGCTGAAAGTCCACCACTTCCTCGCAGGGGACGTGACTCGCCAAACAGAATTTAGCCAGAGGCAGAATACCTGGCAGATCGAACCAGACGCTCCAGAGTCGCTTCTCAAGACCCCTATGCTCCAGACCCGCTATTGCCCGGCCAACTCGATCAAGGAACTCGAGTCAAAACGCCTCCTAACGGGCGCCGAGGAGCAGGAGATCATGCGTCAGCTCGCCCCGTTGCCTATCGACATGGATCTTGCGCTGCCACAAAGGCCGGTTCTGCGCTTTCAAGCCAATATCATGCGCGACGGGGTCATTCTCGCCATGACATTCCACCACGCTGCAATGGATGGCGCGGGCGCCGCACGAGTCCTGGGCCTGCTAGCCGATTACTGCAGGGATCCGGCCGCGTCTTCGGCGGGTGTGATACCAGACCGGCAGTTACGATCGCAGATTAACTGTCTTGCGGCAGGATGTAGTTCCGGCGCCTCGAGGGCGGATTTCAGCCAGCACTATTGCGGCCTCGGAGATTGGGCGGCACTCCTCGCGGAGAATTGGCCAGGCTTCCTGCAGGCGAGAGCTACCGAACTTGTAACCTGGCGATTGACGATTTCCGGTTCCAAAGTCCAGTATTTAAAAGGAGCTTGCAATACGCTGCTACAGGGGCAAAAGTCTGCGCTAGCTGGGAGGCCGACTCCGACGATCCTATCCAATAACGACATTGTGAGCGCCCTGATGGCTATGATACTTCGGCAAGCGGGTCAATTGGCTGGTCAATCTACTGAACTGTCGATTGCAGTGGACATGCGCGGCAATTTCCAACCACCGGCCTTCAAGAACTATCTGGGAAACATGGTGCTACTGACATACACGCCGATCCCCGCTAGGAAGGACCAGGCCCCAGTCGATGGACCACTTCCCCCAACAACAGAATTGCCCCAGGAGTATCTGGAAGAGCTCACCCGGATTGCAGCCCGTATACGTCAAAGCCTTCTCGATGTGAACGCAGAGTACGTACAAGGCGTTCTTTCCCATCTCCACTCACAGACCGACTGGGCGAAGATTGGATTCCGCGGGGTCCCGATCCCCTTGAGCAGCTTTAGGAATTTTGAAATCTTTGGACTGGACTTTGGAGACAGCCTGGGATCGCAGCCTCGAGGGTTCCAACTACATTTACCTGTCCTGGGGGGGATGTGTTTTATCCTTCCAAAGCGTCAAGATAGCACGGAGCCGTGGGACTTGCACCTGACTCTCAACCGTGACGATGTATCTATCGTAGCAAATGATCCTTTGTTTCGCTGGGCTGCTGGAGAGCATCTATGAGTATAATCCATATTCATGCCTGGACTACTGAATATAGGAGTGTGCCAGCAGCACTGGACGGAGAAATCAAGACGAACAGCTTTCTAACCTTGCGCTGTATTGTTCTTCAACCTACCGTTTAGAAAAGAAAATTCGCAAGAAAGCAATAAGAATGAGATATGGGCTGTCTCACTGGGATACTACTGTTTCTGAAATGGCTTGAGATCCATCGGTAAAGGGAGCCTTAACTGCATCACTTCAACATAAAACAGAAAGTAGACGAGAATAATGAAAATAACACAAGATAGCACTATCTGTATCAACCGAGCTACCACAAATCCATCCATGATGAACCTCCCGAGATTTATCTCAAGATTAAAACAAATCCAGAGATCCTGACACAAGCAACAGCTCAACGAAACAAGCCAGAACATTCCAAATCCCCAGCGCGAAATTCCGCCGGTGCACTCTGCCCCCACTACTCGGATCTTTCGTATCAAAGATATATAGCTGCTCGCCGAGAGAGGCCGTCCACACCACCAGCCACGAGAACCAGAGCCAAGCGGAGCCGTTCTCATGCAGAATCCACGGGATCACCAGGATCACGGCGACGGCTTGCAGGAGGAGCAACCCATGCACGTAGTTGCCCGCAAAGACGTACGAGGAGTTGACGTTGAGCCTACAGTCATCCTTGATGTCCTGGTAGCTGTAAGCGGTGTTGAAGTAGATGGTCCACAGGAACAGGAAGACGCAGAGCGGCAGACATTTCGCGACCAGCTCGTGTGAGGAAACGCTGTCTTCGTAGACGGAGGCCCAGGCGGGGAGGATGGTGAGGGCGCTGCTGGCGCCGAGGATGTACTGGGGGTAGATGCCCAGTTTACGCATTGTCGGGCGCTTGCCGAAGGGATAGAGGATGATGCCGGTTGTGAGGGGGAGCATGAATGTCCATCTACAGAGAAATGAGCTTCCATGATTTCAAAAAAAAATGGGGGCAGTATGGTTGGCATGGATATGGCTTACACGTTCCGACCGCTCAGCATGCGGTCCATAAGCCAGACTGAGGCCGCATACTGGACCAGCATCCAGATGAGGGCAGCTCTCGTGGAAAGCCGGCCGGATGCGAGGGGCCGGTTCTTGGTGCGGGCGACCTGGGCGTCGATGTCGCGGTCGATCCAGTCGTTCCATACCATTCCGGCGCCGCTCAACAGATATGTATACATAAAGGCCAGTCCTGCGCGGCCAAGCACCCAGTCTGAAGGAATGCGGACGCCATCGGCGTGTCGTGCGGCTGCCGCAAGAAAGATGGACCAGACTGGGACGTAGTGGTTAGCGTGGTAGGATTGTTTTTGAGGGGATTATTTTATTACCACCAGGGAATATAGCAAATAAACAGTTGTATTTGTCAAATCGGGAGACATCGATGAGCGTGCGGACCAGCTGTGCCGGTGACTGAGAGGTGGCCATCATGAGAAGAATGATCAAGCCTAAGTCTGGTCTCCAAGGTCAAGGACTATTATCGCGACCCCTTGAGGCGTTGGGACCTAGATTTATGGCAGAAATGTGCTCAATACCTGTAAATAATAGAGCAATGCATCCCATTACTAGATACAAGGTGTCATTTCCTCATATCGACCAGCTCGATCTCCCTATGCAGCAGCCCCACTACAAGTGCTACTATTATGTACAAAAAAATAGACAAGTGTAGATATGCAGGTAGTGAGGATCATTTTCATAGTCTTGCTGTGGGAAACTTGTAGGAAAATGTGATCTATCGACTCGACTCTCGACGATGACCGCAAAGCTTCCATTATCCATATAAGGCAATGCCACTATGCAACCAATGTGGAATGCAGCATCCGGATCACAATAGCCACTAGGCACAGACCTGCCACCGTCAGAGAAAATGTAGGCCTCTTGCGTGGCTGGCTGAACTGGATCCAGCCAGGACCAGACCGCTCGGGTGGCTCCACAAATTCCAAGGTAATACCACCGGCAATGCCTCGGGAGGCCCAGTCCGCCGGCTTATCTCCAGCGTAGGGCAAGAGATAGCGTCCCAAAATCCGATTCTTGAGCCCATGCCGCGAGTGGAGACGCATGGCCGATCGTGCTGCGACGGCCACCGGGCCTAGCCGACGGAGGCGATCCTCGACGAAGCCAGCCAGAACCTCTGACAGATCAGCAGCTGCGGGTGGATCGTCGGGTCCACAGCCGTACAGCCAAGTGCGTAACCTGTTGCTGAGCTGCGCTGCATCCTCGATGGCGCAATTGGCACCCTGTCCGATATGCGGTGCGAACTGCATGGGTAGTCTCCTGAGTGAATATCCTGCAAAATCACAGTCAAGGAGGCTACTGACCTTGTGCATGCTGTCTCCAATGCAGATGATGTTCCTCCAGTGCCATTTGCTGAATAGACCTTCCTCCAAAGGTGTCATCTGGAAGACCTCGCACTGCGCCCAAACATGGCCGAATTCGACACCATTCCAGACCGGCTCATGCACCAATCTCTCACAGTGGGCTCGGGCGTCTGCAGGGCTGAAGCGAGGCACATTTTCGCGTGATCCGTCATAGACGAATTCCTTTTCGAGCTTGATAAAGAGGAACCAGAAGACCCTGCCATTCTGGCCGATCACGCTGAGGATACTCCACCCGTCATTGTAACAGGTGATTTGCTCCCCTGGTTCCAGTTGATCGACTGGTGATGAGATTCCAAAGATGCAGGCATAGTTGATCGTCAACTCTATGAACCAAATGGTGCGTTAGTTCTCCATGTGCATGGCCAAGACAAATAGGCTAAAAAAAACAAAGCAAAAGCCACAGCGGGGTAGATACTATTGTATTCACTCCGAAAGATCTCCCCCTGGGAGGCATTGGCCAATCGCCACATCTCTGCTCGTATCCGACTGTGCACTCCATCCGCGCCGACGACAAGATCGCCCTGGTAGACGTGTCCGTTGCTTGTTCGCACAGTGACTCCATCATGAGTACTCTCGATATTCACGACTTGGTGACCCAGTTTCACTCGGCTGGATTGGACCGGCCCAGCCGCTAGGATCTGCAGCAGCTTCTGTCGATCCAAGAACGCAAGAGGGTAGCCGAACCTAAGACCTCTCACATCAGCCTGGAGGGGATAAGTGGACGCTGCCTATTGACTGACCGCTGCTGCAACAATGCAGGATACTGACTAGTAAAGTGAAAGCCATCGGGGTAGGTTACATGCGCCCTCGCCAAAGGCTCGATCAGCTGCTCGATCTGGTGGTATAACCCAAGCTGTTCCATGATTCGGCCACCATTGGGCATGATACCGATGGATGCTCCTTCCTGAGGGGCGATTTCCTCCTTCTTCTCCAGCAGGACATAGTCAATCTTGGCCTTTTCCAAGCAGTGGGCGAGTGTGAGGCCGGCGATGGATCCTCCAATAATGAGGACTTTCATGATGCGCTATGGGCTGTACTGGGGGAAAATGGAAACAACTAAACGTACAAACCTTGATACCCGTGCACTTTTATGTAGAAAATAAAGTTACAACTAGTATCTTAAAAGACTGCCATCCACCTCTGCAGCGACCTGCCAGATCGGGCACATTGGAATTTGCCAGTATGGCTACACGTGCAATCTCCCTTGCTCTCGCCTATTCTTTCTCATATTCTTTTTTTAAGCAAATCTCTAGTCTGCTAAACTATTATGGCATAATGTGTCCAGGCTCTAACAAACATTCTGGATCGACCGATCGGTCGGTTCCATACTACATCACCCCTTGCATGTTCAGCTCTTCAGTCTCAATCCTCGCCGATTGTCAATTGGTGTGCTCACCGTCATTTAGCACCCAGGTTCTGTAGAAAGTACGCAGCATCACCATGCATAACCTTCAGTCGATCATAGAGCTTTCTTCAGCTGGCTTCTGTGCTCCTGACGCCGAATGCGCCACAGAAAAACCACATAGGCAATATCCAGGGAGAAACACATGAGCCCATGCCAGGCGACGAAAGGGTGACTGATCCAGCCGAACTCCTGCGGCCAATGCGTTTCCCGCACATGAAGAAAGATCCCACCAATGTACGAACCCAGGAATCTTGAAAGCCTTTGAAAACCCATTTAGTCACATGGCACGCCTGACGTAAGATCTGCAAAGCAAAGAGAAACATACCAGATTGTGTACGAAGCTCCCCTGCTTGACCCCCGGCTCATGAGCTGGCAGACTGCACCCGAGGTCAATAGCTCGAAGCACAGAAAGGCGCCCCAGTTGGCCGCCTTGCCTACTCCCACCGTCGCAGCCAGTGCCAGATGGCCCGCCGTGAAGGCTGCGATCGCCACGCAAAAGATCCATGGGAGGCACTGCCGGACGAGCGGGGCGTGCTGCCACTCGTTGGGGGCGAACTTGATAGCCGTATACATGACGAAGAGGTTCAGAATCATCCATGTGGTGAGCACGGCTCTCTCGGCGGAATTGTGAGATGGGTAGATGACACTGTAGACGAACTCCCAGGCGAAGTTGCAGCACAGTGGCAGGATGGCCATGCCGTAGGTGCAATCCTTGTACGATTGGTATATCATGGCCAGGTAGTTGATAGACCATCCCAATCCTTGGGCCAGCAGGGCCCAATTCGCTATCCAGGCAACTTCTCTGTACTGGGGAGGTGCCGATGAGATATCTGACCACCCGTCCATGGCAGCGGCTGTCTTGACTTTGAAAGGAATGCGATATAGAAATAGAAGCAAGTTATGGACGAAAATGGTCAGCGAGGATGGTGGTACGACGATGGATTGCTGTTCAGAAGGATATTCGGGGATTATACAGTGTTCGATGGCGGGTTTCTGCTCAAGTCTACTGGCCAAACTATGACACATACGGTATACATAGGTCAGACCCCCACCCTTCCTTTTCCTGTAAGTTCAAGACTAATCTGCTGGGCTTTGTAGTAATGTGCGTTTCACAAGGATGAGCAGTATTAATATTCGAAGCAACATCGCAATTAATAACCGCTTTGGCTTTGAACACGTTACATCTACCCTATCCTAAGTTTCTATTCTCCATCGTCAACCAGGTTTGATATTCATCCCTCTTCCCTTCGGCACATGATTTCCTGATAAAGGCTGCGATTGACCTGAATTACTTTTGAGTCAATACTTCAAGTCCTTTTGGAACTGGCGCGCGTCTTCGAACTTCTATCCTTGCTCTTGGGTCACGGAACGACGCAAACCCACTCGTAAGCACATCATGCGGACTGTCCTTCACTAGTCTCCATTCATACTTCAGCAACATATGGCAGAGCGCTATCTTGATCTCCGTAGCTGCAAAGAATCGACCAGGACAAGCATACTTCCCGTACCCAAACCCCAGGTGGTTCTGGCCCGTCGTCGTGAACGGGGCTCGGGCCTTGTCGGGTCCTTCACGCATTCTCAAGTACCGGTACCCATCGAAGACCTCAGGATCAGGATAGATGTCAGCATCCCCCGCGACGTCGTTAGTCACCATGACAGGCGTGCCCGTGGGAATCTCCGTGCCATTGGCCAGCTTGATGTTCTGTCGGGTAAAGCGCGAAAATGTACCTAGAGCAACGGTAAGCATGTGCAGCAGATTTGACGGCCAGGACTTGTACCAGTTGTAATTGGATGAAGTCGCTGGCTTTCTTTCAAAACACTATCAAGGAGTTTGAGCTGGTTCAGCGTCGAGGCTCGCCATCCATTCTTCTCGAGGACCGAAATCACCTCCTCCCGTAGGTCCTGGATCAAGCCCGGTTGCTCGCATAGGTTGATGAGCACTTTGGTCAGGAGATCGGCGCTGGAATGGATGGACGCATTCGCCAGTCTTAGCTGCACCATGGCTGCATCATACTTATTGCCACTGGCGAAAGCGTCGACCCAGGCGAGGCTGGAGAATCTGTCAGTGCGCGGATTCTTCCTCGATTCCTCCAGAGTAGAATTGATCAGTCGCCGTGCTGTCTTGATTTCCCGCCGGAGCTTCTGGCACGGAGGGAGAAACCAGTGAAGGACGGGTCGAAGCACAGCAGGGCACATGTGCAGAGCTAGAATTGCGTGGTGTCGAACGATGGTGAAATTAACGACTGTCTCCAGCCAGGCTGGATTACGGCACAACGGTTCGCCCACGAAAATGAGAGACGAAACTCTTGCAATCAGCCCCAGCATACTCGGAAGCAGCGTCACCTCGTACCAGTCTAGAATGACCAAGATTAACCATGGCCATTTCTGGATTTCTCCTTTTAGGTCAGGCTTGACCTACCTGGTGAAGCTGGCCATGTATCTACCAGAGCCGCAGATACTTCATCCGACAGAGGAAGCGTAAACTGTTCTGTCAAATGGGCATCAGTTGGGACAAGCTGATAGTAAGAGGGAAAAGCAATCACCTAATTCTCGCGTGATGACGGAAATTACATCGCGCAGAACCGTATTGTGAAGGTTCCCCAGAAACATCGACTCGAAGCCCGGTACCTCTGCCATAAAGTCCTCGGACAAGTAAGCTGGAGTCTGCTCTTCTAGCACTATTCCGGCCTCACTTACCTCGATCATCGCCCTGTAATGGTCCAAGAGTTTTTCATCCTTGAAATCTTCGATGAAGGCCCCGGACACCACAAGTTTGGGCCCCAGGTCGGTGACCACGCCAAAGATGGGCGACTGTGATGCTCTTTAGTTTCCATTTGCGCCATGATGCAGTTGTCTGGATGGGACGCACCTTCGCAAACCCAGCTTTGAGATACTCGGGACCATTTTTCTGGAATCTCCTGTGCGCGAATACATTGAGCACTTCCCAGGGTTTTCGACAATTGACACTGGGAAACCCATCGAATTGGCCGCCGAGGAGTCTCGATCGGATGAAATACAGGCCCACTGCAAGCAGACAGGTCACCCATACAGTCCCTACGGAAACATCTTCAAATCTGATCATAGTGTAAATGCTCTAGATGTCACAAATAGTGTGCAAGCAGACTCAAACCACGCGTCCAACCAGGTTCGTGGTAGAATAACAGTAGGGAATCTAACCACCCTGGCTAAATCCTCTCCCAGATAGCATGTGTGCTACTACTAACCCATCATGTCGAACAGTCAGGTGGCAAGATTCTGACAGCAAGTGTTACAGTACAGGAGACTAAGCAGGGTAGCTATTTACGCCCCTTGCTTCTGATTGATTCATGCATCCGCGGCGCTAATGTAACCATATCAATAGTAGGTTGATCTGCGTAGATCAGCTACCCAATTCCAGAGGCACATCTGTCTTGCACTGATTCCAGCGATTGTAATGCAAGCTGTCCAGAACTGGTTGCCTTTGTTATGCCTCAAAACCTGGTCGAGATTGTTCTCCACAGCAATCTTCATCATTGCATATACGAACGCCACTTTATGCATCATATCTTCTAAGCTCCGTGGCAAGCCGAGATGTATCTTCAGATCTGCGAATATTCATCATATGCTTCTCTCATTTTTCCCGCAAAATATTTTCAGCTGCTTTATACAGAACTGACTGCAGGCTTCCCTTGGCACCGAAACAGCCAGCTGTCGTCCCACACCGCTTGCGTAAGGTATTCCTTGCGGTTGCAGGACGTTGCTTCTCAGAGCCTGAAACTGGCAATCGCGGTGACTTATGTAAATTCAGAAGGCCTATGACATTTGGGTAGAGGAACAAGTGTAGGAAGATACACGCTACAGAATTAGCACTCCAATATTGGTGTCGGCTTCTTGCTCCAGGAACGACAACGATTACAGTGAATC